TGTGTTTAAATGGGACATTCTTTTCTTTGATGTGGAGCTTTTTTTTTTTTTTTTTTTTGATGAAAGCTTAGAGTTATTTATTTCTTGTTTTATAACTTAAATTTAAGAGCATATTTGAGTCAAATGGATTATTGTCAGTCAATTTGACTTCACTTTCTAATAAGCCATATAACTGCATTTAATGCTTCAAAGAGCTTGTTAGGACAAAACTATTCATTACTGGAACTACTGAAAACTTTAGAAAAAAAGAGAAAGCATGTGCACTACCAAAAGCTAAAAATACTTTATCCAAAACAAAGCCTACCTCTGTGAAACCTAACAGTCACTTTTAACACCCTGCTTTCCAAACAGAGGGTGTGAGGCTTTCACACTGTCCCACAGAGGTAACCGAGTCACACTCTTCTACAAATGAAGTTAAAGTTACAAGTTAGTCTAACCTTTCATATGAACTTTAAGTATTTCAATCAGGGTTTAACAGAACAATATTTCAGATTCTGTTAAACATTTCAGCTGTTTACAAACCAAACTAACAGTGGCTAATGCCAACTATCAGTGAACATTAACCACTGTTAGTTTACTACACACTTTGTCTTTTATCATCAGTTTGCTCTCATTCCTCGTGCCTCTGTGTGTCTGATGAACTTGTTCAACTGCCACAAAAACTGATAATACACTTTTGCCACATGCATTTGAGCAGATTCGCCCCAGTGCAGACACACTGTGTAGGCAGCTCTGGAGGTCATAAGTCTACAGTGAACAGTCTGCATCTATTTATAAAGTGTTCTGTTGAGAAACAGTGTGATGCATGTTAGCATGCTAGTAGTTAGCTATACAGTCATAGCAAAGCTCCACTCAGCAGCTCTGAGAGCTGTCACTGTAAATGGTTTCAAATGAACTTGCTGTGTATCAAAGTGTTTTTAAGATGGTCTCAATCAGATTTAGAGTGACAGAAGATATCTGTGGTTGTTGGAGCGTCTTGTACAGTGGGAGACTTACGACAGAACACTGTAGAGCTGCAGAAGAATGTGGAGAGACAGGGCATGGAGTGAGTGAAAGACTCTTACCCAGGACCTCTTTGGAGGGGGGCAGGCTCAGGCTCAGCCCCAGCACACTGCTCTCATCCTGGGCCCCGCTCTCCTGTACCGAGCGCACCAGCTCCCGCAGACGTGTCACTTCCTCTCGAAGAGAATCCACTTCCTGCTGCCGCTGTTGCTTGGCAACAGCTGTGGGGTTCATCTTGAAGTGCAGAAGTCTGGTTTTGGCTGGATCAAAATCTCCCTGAGACACAGACAACGGGGAGATCAGGCGGCTGATTTGTAAACACACACACACACACACCATTTCATTTGAGTGAAGACAGAACAAGAGGGCTCAGTCTCAAACACATCTGGACAACTTTGAAACTTGTGTATCTGCACTCAAACTTTGAGCAGCATTTTATATTCTCTGCTAGAGCCCCTATCAGACCTTGTGGGTTGAGTTCACATTGCATCACACTATTTTGAAAATACTGATATTCAAATGCTCATATTTTCAAAGAGTGGTGAAGGGCAGTTACATGGGCAGAATGCATCTGTCTTTAAGAGGACAGATTGTGCTTGTGTCAGCTATAGTTACAATCTATGAGAGCTGTAGATCATTATGTTATAATTTAGCAAATTTTAAATCACAATATTAATCTAAAGTGACAAATTGATCCAGTGAGCTACCTTTACAAAACAAAAATGCCAATTTCAGCAGTCGCAAAGAAACTGAGTAAATATAAGAGCTGCGGCGAGTCTTAGACGGGGAACAGTTAGATACTTATAAACCATAAACAGTTCAAAATGATACATGTAGAATGGTAGTTAATCAAATTTGACTTATTATCCACAATACACAGAATTCAGAAATCCTTTGGCGAGCCACTTGGAAGGGGGTGGAGAGCTGCTGGTATCTCCTGAGCTACAGGTTGGAGATACAGGTTGGCTGATCTAAAACGACATAATAAAAGAAACAAACAATCTAATGACTTCCACGGTAGCAGGGAGCAGGGCAAACGGCACCCCACACAGAGACAGAGGGAAAGAGACACTGGACTTTTATTCAAATTGTGCAGATTTATGTCAAAACTTGTTAACATGTGAGGGGACATGAGGAAACAAAGACCCGCTGTGGCCCTGACTGCTTTTTCCCAAGTGTAAATCCTCTTCAGCTCCACACACTCTTACTGCCACATGATTGACAGCAGACCTCTTGATTAAAATGTGCATTCCTTTTCATCAAGATCGACCAAAGTAGATTGCCATCTATCGATCTTTCAATTTTTGGCACAGCCCTAGTGGACAAGTCCAGGTGGAGGTGAAAAGAGTCAACTAAAACATGGTTAAAATCTCTAAAAAGTTCATTTCTGCAGATCAGGTCTGTTCAAATGCAGATTAAACTATTTTATGGTTGATATCCATAAATTACAGGGACAGTCAACATGAATATGGCACAAAGTATGTCAAGAGTCTTTTCTGTCTGCAAAAATGAACTACAGTTTGAAGTAATTATAAAAACACAATTACTACAATAAGTACAAAAAAAATGATGGCAATATTCAACCCTTGTTCTAGGATCCAGTCTCTAGCAAATAATGATGAGATTAGGTTAACAGTTTTTAGATTTTAATTTTGGGCATACTTTTCAAAAACTCTGAAGCTCCTTAGACTGAGCCTGGCATCCCACTGTAATGTTGGTCTGGGCTGGGCGTAGGATTTTCCTGCTGTGATTGTTGTTTTCTTGTCAAGTCAGGTTCAGATCTAAAGATTACAGAGGTGCGCTGGGGCTGGACAGGTCTCCACGGTAACACAGGTTGACAAATTTCCCCACAGGGACAATAACAGTGTTTTATATTTAACAGTCCGAGGGCAGAGAAGTGCATTCAAACATGAAGAGGCTTTGAACAGGGCCCGGGAGAGCACGCTAGATTACTCAAACATGCATGGAGGACATCTAAAACCACTTCAGGCATGTTTTTGATGAGAACAATATTATAAGATGGTAGAAAGTGGGGTGAGTGATATCTCGATATTTTAAATATATCTCGATATTTTTTAACTGGATATGAATTCTGACATATCGTATATATCGATATAATGCTTATATTCAATTTTGATTTCGCCGCTTCACTTGTTGTCTTCTCTGGCGTCGTTCGGGCACGCCCCCGCCTCCCTGATTTTGTTCGCTTGTGTTTCATTCACTCCTCACTCCTCGCCGTGAATGTTGAAAGTTGGCGCCAGTGAAAAGCTTCAAGCACCACGAAACTTTTCCCCCATTTACAGACAAAACCATCAGCATTACATCTCACATTCCACCAAGTCATGTCCTTTAGTCCAAAAGAAGCTGAACCCCATTAGCAGCACAAGGAGTGCGCTGTTTATGCAAATTAGCCATGCTCTTTTAAGTTTCGTTTCTGTAAAACATAAACAAAGCTGCATTAAACACATTATAATGTCAAACGGGCTGATGTGGCTCTAGAGTCGTTATGTTTATATGTTGTAAAGTTTAGTCATGTAAAGTTTATTTATGCAGAAGGTTTTCATCAATAATCTGCTGCAGTGTCACTTGTACAATAGTGTTTGGAAACGTTGGGTTTGATCTGCAGTGGATTGTGGGAAACTTCAGAGCTCCTTACTGCTGGAACATGGATCTGTTAAAATAATGAACCTCTTGAGCTTCTTCTGCTGAAGGAGCTCATGGTTCTGGTTATGGTTTGGATAACAGAGTTAATGCAAAGATGAGCTTGTTTTGAGTTGTTTTATTTATGAATGAAAAGAAGGAAATATGTTTTATTTCTTTTATTGTACAGTTAAATTATTATTTATGTAATTAGGTTTTTTTTGTAATCTTAAATGTTCCTATATGAACTGCTGACCTCTTACACTTCAATAAAAAAAATAAAAATAAAAAAAAGACCTTGTGGAATTTGGCATATTTATTTTTGTAGTTTTTAGGGGGTTATTTTTTTCCTGTACAGATATCGAGATATAGCAAAATATATCGAGATATATTTTTTGATCCGTATCGCCCAGCCCTAGTAGAAAGCTCCAAAAAGTACATTTTCACATTTGAGAGAAGACTGAAATGTGAACTGATAGAAGAATCCCACACATTCAGAACATGCTTGTAGAAGTACAGGTACGCCAACTCAGATTGTGATTCAGATTTGATTGCTATGTGCTATATTTGTACAACTCTGGCAGCTTTAATCTGACTTCACTCAAATACTGGAAGAACTCAACTTTTCATCAAAACAAAGTTTGCCTTCATTCTTCATAATACACCCATCCATCAGCAACTGTCCAAGCTGAACGCAGACATATGGTCAGGAACATCTCCAAACTCACAGAGTGGAACTACCCATAGACAGTCCCAGTGCTTTTGCCATCTCAGCAACTGTTCATAAAAGAGCATTAGGAGCAGAGCCAGCATGTGCGGATATGAGTCTGCTTCACTGTGCCAAACACATTTGTGTAAACAGATTAAACAGGCTCCATGGGGATCACATCAATACTCAAGTTTGTTCTTTTCAACTACACAGTCTTTACACTGTGCAGAGTTGATTCATTTGTCAGTTTTAAATTCAGCATATCCTACCAGTTCAAAGTTTGGACACACTTTTTGCTTTGGAGAACACATATTATGCATTCTTTGGCTTTAATTCACTTCTGTGCTTTCAGTCACCCTGGGATAAGTATGTCACCTTTTTCTAACTTGTGAAAAAGGAAAATAACAGAATAAAAACTGTGCAGAAGAAGTCCGGATGCAACTAAATAGGCAAATTGTGAATGGAGCATTTTTGAGTACCCAAAAAAGATGATTCCGGGTTAATGGACTTATGAAACCAGCGCGAATGAAGCAAAAATACAACTTCAGGTGTGTGTTTTGATGAGGAGACAACAGTATGAGATGGTTAAAAGGTCCAGACTTTTGCATAATGTGTTTTGGTGTTTTAGATTCTCGATTCTTCAAAATAACCTTTACCCGTTGCTTTGATCACTGCTTTGCACACTCTTGGTATTCCACTAATGAACCTTGACATGGCACATCTGTGAAGTGAAAACCATTTCAGGGACTTCAACATGAAGCTCACTGAGAGAAGACCAAGGGTTAGCAGCTCTGTCAACAAAGTAAAGGTGGATACTTTGTGGATTCTGAATCTGAAATATAACACACATTTAGAGTTAGCTGTTACCATAGACAGAGTATGTGTGCAAATTGGTTCATTTAAGGTCTGGTTCTGATTTATTTGTATTGAAAAATGCCTGGCCCTGTTTCTGTTTCTGCTGCTGTCAGGTAGTGTTGTAGTCAAGACCGCACTAATCAAGACCAAGACCAGTCCAAGTCCTAAGACCAGGACAAGACCAAGACTAGGGCCCGACCGATATGGGTTTTGTTGTGGCCGATTTGAAACCGATAAAATTGTAGTTGGAGCTGCCGATAGCCTATATATTCGCCGATATATTTAGTGGGTTAGGGTTAGTATGTAAAATAATGTAAAAATTCACTAAATCTTGAATTGTTTAAAAAAAACTTAGGTTTGGCTCTAGTGGATTTTAAATTGGGTTTATTTAAGCAACATTTATTGTTATTCTGACTCTTTACATCATATTTACAGACAGTAGGTCAGACTAATGGTATTTTTGCATCACATTCTAGACACTAGTGATGGGTATTCCAGTTCTTTTTAGAGAACCGGCTCTTTTGGCTCGGCTCACTAAAGCAGCTGGCTCTTTCGGCTCCCAAGCGGCTCTTCAGATTGTTTTGTTGCAAGCAGGACTAAACCAGGATAAAGCAAAACTGAACCAAGTCTAAAGCAAGACTAAACCAGAACTGAACCAGGACTGAGTGTCAGGACTCACTTTCTATCTCTCTCCGTCTCTCGAGCCCAAGATTAGTCCTGGTTTATTTATTTTATGCTGAACTACAGCCAAACAGTCACGTTTTTTCTCTCCTATGCACACGCAGATTTCTGAAAATTTCATTTTGAGCCGCTGCCGCTGTCAAACTCCCACGAGTCTGCACGCGGCATGAAAAGAAAAAAAGTGGGAGAATGAGAAAACACGGCTCCCAATAAGGATCAGGCTCCTGTTGTTCGCTTCAAAGAGCCGGATCTAAGAGCCGCTTCGTTCGCGACCGACCCATCACTACTGGCTAGTAAAGAAACTAGTGCTATTAGCCTTTAGCCGTAAATGCTGCGCGCCGCGGTAATTAATTATGTGCGCAAATGTCATAATTCACACGTCTATTCACAG